AATATAATGTTGAATAAAATGGTATTATAAGTTAAATATATCACAATATTTTATATATATAACTTTGATAAATTGCTAGCTATAAAATATTATCATATGATCGTATACCTACAAGTATAACATTCATTTAATAAAATTAATGAATATAAATCAATGACTTTATTTTAATTGATGAATATAAAATGTTTTTCTTTTCACTTTTATTAATTTTTATAAGTATTATTAGTCAACTTTTGGATAGAAAAAATTACAATGAATCATGCCTATGTTGTTTATTTTAACTTTATTATTATATAATTATTAATTACAAGGAAATTGGCTTGTTGGCCATCTGGCATTGCCACGTGTCTCAAGGGAGCTGCACATTTAATTTCTTTGTAATATTTTAGTTACCAGGGTGGAAATTGCAATTGGCAGAAAGATGGAAGCGGAAGTTAAGCTAAACGAATCGTTTTGATGTAGAATTAAAAAGAATCAAAAATAAAACGCCGTTGCCGGGGATCGAACCCGGGTCACCCGCGTGACAGGCGGGAATACTTACCACTATACTACAACGACGTTTGTCTATTTTTCTTAAAGTCTTTTATTTAGTAATTAGACGTCGAGTCCTTTTAAAAGTTTGAAGGAAGTAACCTTATTTATTTATTTTATTGGTTTTTTCCATTTCATTTATTTTATTTTCACTTATTAAAATGGAATACATTTGTCTAAATTATAAAATGATTTTAGACCAAAATAAGAGCTCTCGTTTGATTAGTTAAGCAAAATAAGAGCGAAAATACTACATTTGTTACTTCAAAATTTTCTATTAACTATTTTTTTCATTTCAAAAAACCCTTTATTTTGTCGTTTCATAAAACCCTTTCACAAGTTTACAGTAACACCAAAAAGTTCATTTTAATTGAAAGAAAAATTTGATATTTTCAATATATTAGAAAAATTTGTGTTGAGTTGAATCATTATCCAATGTCCTTTACAAATTTCTCTAGGAGTTAATCGTGAAATAAGTGTTCTTGTCAAACAAAATGAGTAGAGACAACTCATGGAATTAAACAATCTCCTTCAACACATATCCACTATAAATGAGCCAAATTATTGTGTAACATTTCGAAACTATAAGTAATTCCATGATGAATTCCATCGACAAATCCTTGTATTTTCATTGAAGAACACTCAGAGATCGCAAAATGTTTGAGGTCTCTGTCTCGACACTTGACTTTCTTATTTTCTACCTACTGCATCACACGAGATAGGTAGGAAACTTTTCCTTGAGACTTAATCAATCTCTGTCTCAACGTAAGCTAAATTGTTAACTATGCTAGTTGTATCACTACCTCACTAACCATAATAACAACTTCGACTCTTTAAAGTCAGCCTTTATATTAACTTAGTCTATGTGCCACCTTTCTACATAAGACATCAATAACTACGTGGGCCTTACTAAGATTAGACATTATCTCCTCATTATAATCACCAACTTTTATTGCCTCATGTTCTGAGCAAGTATTTTTCAAACATTTGTGGGCTATGTAAATCTGAATCGTCACACCATACAAATTCTCAATGAGCAAATATTTTTCACAGTTTCATCTAGTAAGATTAATCTCATTCAATTTTTGAGAGTTCAAGATGCAAATTTCTAGAAAATCATAAAGATGTTTGAGCTTTGGACCAGGAGAATTTTGAAAAATTCCTTCATGGATAAATTTTGATTAATTTGGAGAAATTCGTTCATGGGTAAATTTTGATAAATTTTGATTAATTTATTGGTTAAATCCTATTTATTTAGCTTTGTGATGATAAAAGAAATTATTTTCTTGAAGATATGAAAAGTGAACGAGATCTAGAACACTCTACTCAATAAATGAGCATTTTTACGCGGTTTTTGATAAATAAAAAATTTGTGAGCTTTAGATTTGCCAAGACCTAGTAATTCACCTTACGGTAATGAGAGCCCACAAAACAAGTCTTTAATGGCTCCTTGCAACATTCTATACAAGTATGTAGAAGAAATCGAGGAGAGAAAACTAACATACGAGACTGGGGAAGGCATATTAAAGACGTAGGAAGCCATAATTTCATCGTCTTCCCTTACATCCTAAGGTTGAAGACAACGACATGGCTGGTTCAATTGGACCAACCACGTGAACTAAACTGGACCACCTTGAATTTTTCATGATTTCGAGCTCATTCAAAATGGGCTCTCACCCAACGCATTTTGGTTCCTTAAATTAATGTTCTATAGGACTTATAAAAGAAAATTGGGAGAATTTTGGACCTCTAGGGTGCAAAAATCAAGATCCCAAACATCTTCGCAAGCAAGTAACTACTTTGATCTTTTCTTAAATTTTCCCTGTAGGAACAACTTAGAAATGAACTAGAACTTTGAGATAACAAAGATTTACGAAAATGGAAGAGTTAGGTCATGAACTAAGAGTTAAGGATATAAACCATACGTTTTGCTCAGAAATTGTGATCTTTGAAAATAACCCACTAAATGATTTGCTGCTTATGAAATTTTATTGGATAGTCTAATACCTTATTATAAAGAACTGATGAAAATTTTTATGGGCATAGGAGTATGCTTAGGGCATAAACTAAAGATATAGGTAAAATGATCAAAATATCCCTACAACGTCTAAATATCGATTTATGGCCTAAATGAACTCCAAATATCTTACAAATTTATGAGGCCTAATTATAATGAATAACATTTTATGGTTTCAAAGTCATTGGATTTTTTTTTAGGCATAAACAATTGTGTGGTGAAAAAGGATGAAAATGCCCCTAATGCTTATCCTACGAGAATTCTTACCCTAATGAACTTCATTTTGCTTGAAATTTAATATGCTCAACTTATGCACAAATGGCATGATATGCATGGATTAAAGCTTATGAACCTTAGGGTACGTCTTATGCCTAAGTTGTGCCTTAAGTGTTAGGATGGAACCTTAGAACTAATGAATTCATGAATCTATGATGTTGCTCTCAGGCCATAAATTAAGTCGAGTAGATTAAATTTCAGAGTATTGCATAACTCAAGTCGTAAACCTACCATAATTGTTAGACTGTTATTACTACTCTAGTCAGACTCGCCTTGTAACGATTCGGATTTTCCATTTTTTCTTATATCGTTAAGATTTTATTTTTATTTCCATATATGACATATATTATGTTCTAGCAATTATTCCCGCCTGAAAATATGCATGATTTTCGACAATGAAGTTATTACCTTAATAGAAATGTTATGAAACCCATGTATTCCTATATTCAACCCTTCTCTGTCCTTGAAAATGACTTTTTCTCTCCAAACTTGTTTATGTTTTCGAGGATGTTTGAAAGAACGGGAAAACTGAGAGTGCTAGAGGGGAAAATCGTGTGGGGTTGGTTCGCTGGATTTTCTTCAGTGAGTGGCCAAAGGGAGAATCGACTGAAGCTATTGGTGTTGAATACCGTTGCGTGTCTGTCAGAATAGGTGAGGGGTGTCGTTGCATCGTCGAAATCGGGGTTGTGACGTCGTCGTTGGCAGTGAATCAACGATTAGGTTTTCGCGAGGTTTTGGGTAAAGAAGACGAAGGAAACGGGTCGGGTTTCACATTCGGCCTCTGAACCAGCCCACGGACGAACACGAGCCCTGTGCGTTTCGGCCCAATACGGACGCGCGCTGCAGCCTCAGTCTTGTCTCTGCACGCGTGCTCTCGGCTCGGCTTGACGTGTATGGCAGCTCGGCTCCGTCAAATTCCGCGGCTCGGCTTGGCGGCTTAGTTGGTCGGCTTGACAGCTCGGCTTATCGGCTCGGTATCACTATAATATATTGATTCAAAGGTTTTTGGCCCTTCCGAAACCGTTTCTGCCCTTAGTTTTTCCATCTGAGGTCAGTATGGTTCCTAACAGTCAAAGACAGATTGTGTTGAGAGTTTATTTTGATAAATAACATGAGATTTAGATAGGGTATGTTATGAAAGGTTCCCAAGTCTTTATGTGGTTATTATAGTACGTCTTTAACCGTTGGAATTAGCTTGTTGTGAGTGACTTCGGTCAAGGCCATCAAGGTAACTGACATTACTGTTGGAGTTAGCTTACTACGTGTTGTATGACGGTGTGTGCCCTGTGGCACCTGCATGCACCATATTTATGTGATATGACTATGTGATGTATAGATTGTGTTGACTGTCGATTGTTTTGTTATGTGATGTATGGAATATGTTGACTGTTGACTGTTTATGTTATACGAAGCTATGAATGATATGTTAGTAATATATGCCATAAAAATGTTGATCGATGTCATGTATACACGTAGTATTCTCGAGTCATGTCATGAAATGCTTATGGAACTGGAATGTATTTTCATGTTATGTAATATGCCATGTAATGTAGCTTATGTGATATGCCATGTAAAGTAAGAAATGCATATGTGATGTTGGCAGTTAGGTATGTTAATGGACCTCATGCATATATGTATGTCACTTGCATCGGGATTCATCCCCTTTATGTTATGAAAGAATGAAATACAATATTTATGTTCGCCATGATATCATGCGGGCCCTTTTCTGTTATGTGGTGTCCGGCGATGTGTAACACGTTGTGCCCGGCCAAGTCAGGCCCAAGGGGTATGTATACGAGCTCGCCTAATGGGTCTATGTATGCATACATGGGCCGTGTGTGAAGGAGTACCACACATCCAACCCTACCCGGAATAGAAAAGTGCCCAAGTCCATGTAAAGTTTATGAAAAGTTAGGTCCTGCTCATATGTTGCTTGTGTTTGCATTTCTAATGTAACGACCCTAATTTTCTTTAACCTAATTAGTGACGTCACCCATGCATACATAACTTATTAAGCGGAATCTCATCATAAATAACCTTGGAAACAAAACAAAGTCTTTCATAAACATTCATAAATCCAAAACAACCTATCTCCAACAATAAACTTTCAATAACGAATTTAACAATAAATCTAAATAAAGCAATACTCAATGGTATAACTTAAAACAGTCCTACTCCTAAAAAATATCCCCTCTCCAACTTCCATGGTGTTCTCAGCTCCACCGTCAATTGTACATTGACGCCTTGTCTTTATCTGAAAAATGTAAGTAGCACGTACCTGAAAAATACGCAGTAAGTCACCCCACTGTTGGGGTTAGGAATGCAAACACATGCAACATATGAGCGGGACCTAACTTTTCATAGCCTTGGGTGCTTTCCTGTTCTGGGTAGGGTTGGGTGTGTGGTACTCCTTCACACACGGCCCATGTACGTGTACATGGACCCACCAGGCGGGCTCGTAAACATACCCCCTAGGCCTAACTTGGTCGGGCACAACATGTTACACGTAGCCGAACACCACAAAACAGAAAAGGGTCCGCATGATATCATGGCGAACATAAATATCGTATTTCATTCTTTCGTAACATAAAGGGGAAGAATCCCGATGCACATGACATACATATATGCATGAGGTCCCTTAACATATCTAACATGGCATTACATAAGCAGTGCTAACATCGCATATACGTTTCTTACATTACATGGCGTCTCACATGACCCACATTACATGGCATACTACATAACATGAAAGTACATTCCAGTTGCATAAACACCTCATGACATGACTCGATAATTCTACATGTATCTATGGTATCGATCAACATATTCATGACATATAATACTAACATCTCATTCATAACTTCACATAACTTAAACAGTCAACAGTCAACATAATTCATACATCACATAATATACCCAATCTATACATCACATAATCATATCACATAAATATGGTGCATGCAGAGGCCACAGGGCACGCACCATCATACAACACGCGGTAAGCTAACTCCAAAAGTAAGGTCACTTACCTCGATGGTCTTGGTTGAAGTCACTCACAACGAGCTAATCCCAGCAGTTAAATACATCCTATAATAACCACATAAAAACTTAGGAACCTTTCATAACATACCTTAGCTAAACCTCATGCTATTTATCAAAATAAACCCCCGACCTAAGCTGTCTTTAACGTTTAGGGACCATACTGATCTCGGATGCTAAAACCGAGGGCAGAAATGACTTTAGAAGGGTCGAAAACCTTGGAATCGATATATTACAGTGATACCGAGTCACCAAGCCGAGCTGCCGAGCCGACCAACTAAGCCGCCAAGCTGAGCCGCGGGTTTTGACGGAGCCGAGCCGAGATCATGCGTGCGGAGTCGAGACAAAGGCTGCAGCGCGCGTCCGTGTTGGGCCGAAATGCACAGGGCCCACGTCCGTTCCGTGGGCTGGTCTAGAGGTCGAACGTGAACCCGACCCGTTTTCCTTCGTCTTCCTTACCCGAAATTTGCGAAAACCCTAATCGTCGCTGCGCCGCCAACGACGATGTCACAACCCGAATTCCGAGGATGCGACGACACCCCTCACCTATTCCGACTAACGCGCAACGGTATACTACACCGACAACTTCAGTCGATTCTCCCTCCAACCACTCACCGAAGAAAACCCAGCGAAACTCCCCACACGTTTTTCTTGGCTAACCCTCTTGATTTTTCCGTACTCTCAGACAACCTCGAAAACCCAAAAAAGTTTGGAGAGCAAAAGTCATCTCGAAGGAAGGAAGAGAGTTGAATATAAGAATATAAAACTAATTTCAAGACATTTACCAATAAGTCATCTAGGGTTTTAGGATAAGGAGATTTAGGGAAATAGGAATGTTTCAATAAAAGTGTCGCACGAAATCCCTCGATTTTTGGGAGATTACATTTAATTATTTATTCTATTTTTATTTGATTTTATTTTATTTCAGAACCCGAATCGTTTCCATTTCCATTAAAGTAATAACTTCTTTGTTTAAAATTGCACGGCGAGAATAAATACACAACATAATATCATGTCATTTATAGAAATAAAATAAAATCTTAACCAAATAAGGCAAATATGGAAAATGTGAATCGTTACATCTAACCCAATAGTGGAGTGACTTATTGAGTATTTCAAAAAATACTCAAGTCACGTGCTACCGACATTTTTCAAGTAAAGGCAATGCGCCAATGTACGGTTGATGGTAGAGGTGAAGACACCATGGAAGTTGGAGAGGGGATATTTTCAGGGGTTTACATTTATTTGACTGTTTTAAGTTAAAGCATTAAATATTATTTTTTTCAGATTTATTTTGAATTTAGTTACTGAAGGTTTCATTTTCGGAGTTAAGTTTTTTTATTCAGATTTATTTTGAATTCAGTCACTGAAGGTTTCATTTTCAGAGTTAGGTTTGTTTTTGGATTTATGAATCTTTATGAAAGACTTTGTTGGGTTTTTCAAGGTTATTTATGATGAGCTTCCGCATAATGAATTATGTATGCATGGGTGACGTCACTAATTATGTTACACGCCTCATGCTCAAAATCATCCTAGACCTCCCAACATGTAGATGCCCTGCCCGTTTGATGTCCTGTTGTGCAGGATATCAAGATGGCTAGGTTCATGATATCCACAACCATGTGACCTAGTAGGTCTTGTAAGGGGTGAAATAGCATCAAGAGCAGTGTTATGCGTTGCGGGTGGAGTGGAAGTAGACAACCTAAGATCCATTTTCCTCAAATTCATCCAATGACGAGAGATCAAAACAAGTGCATAAGCTAGGGTTAAGCACTAGATTGACCAAGATCCTTAGAATAGAAACCATGTTAGAATATAATACCTTAGTATCCACCATGGACACGATTAAGAGCCTACAAGTAGGTTACTTACTGAATTTTATACTCGCCCTAGTTCTTACATGTTTTGTAGGTTGTAACTAGAACCTGGTCGAGGACGAGAGTGGATATAGAGCAGGTGAAGATCTAAACGTAGAGTCTACAATAATGTGTCGTTTTGTTATCTGTCTTGAATTCTATTCCTTTATTGTATTTAAACTTGAACTTTATTTTGGATAATGCAAATATATAATATAGGTATGTTTTATGTTGCAAATAAATTATTATTGTATTTTTAAATCGTCCAATTTGCTTCAAGAAGAAGCTAATTACAAGGCCAACCTAAATAGGTATAGACTTATGGTCAGCAAATTATTCAATTTTTGTTAACCTTTTAATTTAATTTCCTATTTTAATTTTTCTATTAAATTATTAAATTTCTTAACATTTTAATTTTTATTCAGTAAACTTAATATACAAAAATCTGAAATCAATGTTACATTAAAAATTTGAAGAAAGAATAAATAGTAAAGTCAAAGTATTAGATAGAAAAGGTTACATAATTCATACCTTTGTTGTTTATTTAAATTGTATAATTATTTAATTAATGATAATTAATAATCTAAAGTAAATGTATCAATTTATTTTTAAGAGGAAAAATTACATTAGAAAAAACCACAGTAAGATCAAAAGTAAATAAATTAATAAAATTGTACGTGTCTCAAAGGAGTTGCACTTAATTTATTAAACGAACCGTTTTGAGCAATTAAATGTAAATAAAAGGAGAACGCCGTTGCCGGGGATCGAACCCGGGTCACCCGCGTGACAGGCGGGAATACTTACTACTATACTACAACGACCCATTTGTTAATCGTTTTTAATTTATTTTATTTCTCTAATTATTCTTTTATATCTTAATCTGACTCTTTAATTTATTTTATTTGAACTTAATTAAATTTTTTTAAAGAGATTTGTCTAAATTATGAAATGATTTTATATACTATATTTTTCACTATATTATCGACCCGTTTTTATTTATTTGATTAAAATATTCCATATGATTTCTCTTCTAAAATCCTGGTGTTAAAAGATTTACTGGTATTAAAAGTCATTGCAAGAAAACACGAATGTGGAAACCTAATGAAGATTCGTGGAAACCCAAGACTTTTATAGGCTCGAGTTCTTGAGGAGAAATATTCACCGAGTGTCTCTCTACAACTCTATTAATGTGGACTTCCAATCTATGAAGGATTCATAAGGAGTTCATACACACGATAAGCTTGCACAGAATTTTAATGTTCACAACTAAAATTCTTCCACAATATAACACAATAATGAGTTAAATTATTCTTGGAATGTTTGTTAGATGATTTTTATTTTTATTTTTATGTTTTTTAACTCTGTAAAAAGAATCGAAGGATAAATAAGCTAAAACTCGAGTTCCAACCACGACTTTGATGGTACAGTGATTCTTAATTTACGAGGTTAGATTCTATAATCTTAGGGTTGATAAGAAAAAAAAAGTTTGAAGAGGGAATCAAGCAATAAAAATTCCTTTATTATTCTGCTCGATTCAATTTACAGGTAGAAAATGTTGACCATTTGATCGCGATCAGCTTTAACCATTGTCAATGAGTAGCGTCTATGACTTGTTTTATCTCATTTAGATTATTTTATCCTATGAAAGTCTAATTTCTATTTTTTTTTTTTAATGTTATTAGTTGACCATACTAAGTATGAATTTAGAACTAATTCTTGGTGCTCTACAATTAGGGTTAGCTAGAGAGGTTGATTCGATAAGACTTCAAACGTGATAATGTCAGAGATAGTTAAGTTGCCCTATAATAAAACCTAGTTGAGTACCACATTATGAAAAGGAACCAAGCTTAGCTTACTTAAACTAAGTGAAAATTTCTCTATCGTTTCAGTATACTATGAGATCTATTTCTCACCTAGATTGGTAAGATGCCTAACTTCAATTGATGGGATGGCAAGCATGATTTGCTACCTAGACATACGATCGAGATGATTTGTGATATGTATTGTTTATGAAAATGGACATGTCTCCTCTTAAGACTCATGCTCTGTAAACCTATCTTCAGAATGATGTGAGACTAGTGGGTACGTACGATCTCAATATACATCAAAGTAGCTCAAGTACATAAATAAGAACCTACAAGAATTTCAAGTCTTACAAGCATGAACCGTGAATAATATCAAGTCTAGAACTATGGTACTTAGTTAGGGCATAAAAATGATTAAGAGCCTACAAATAGGCTTGCTTGTCTTTTTTCAGAATAGCAGCTGGGCATCTAATTGAGGACATGAGAAATGTCATGACCTAAGTTTTAAGGCTTCAAAACTCCAATCGTGACTAAAAAGACGAAGATAAAAGCAAATAAAAGAAAAAGGTGAAATAAAATAAAAGATGAAAATTAAGTAAAATTTAAATAGAAATAAAGTCAACACCACCCAAATTAAATATAAAATAAAATCTAATTATAAGACGATGTTATTCAAGATATTAAAAATGAGGAAACGGATTTGAGATACAATCATAAAACAAAATACAAAAGACTGTAAAATGTAAAAGCAGACTGACGTCTCGGAACGACTCCCTCTATGACCACACAACTCTTGAATGTTCTTCCACCTCGACCAGCAGCCTGTAAACACCTAAAAAAAAAAAAGAGAGAAATGAGTGAGTATATAAATATGTTCGGTAAGCAAACTACTTGTAGGCTTTCATCGCATCTAGGACCTAGTAGGTAACCATGCGCTTTACTCTAGGCTTTAGGTGTATTGCTCTTGTTGCGCATACTTTTGCGTAGCTAGCTTAGCCTATGCAAGAGTAGCGAGTATCTGATGTTGAGGCGGCTACCTTAATGAACACTCTCTAATAGGTAGGAACAACATAGTTAGTACTAGCATACTCGTCATCCATGGGAGGTAGTTGGCGAGCCCACAAACCATGTAGTCACCCAAGGTCAGGGGCTCTACCCCTAGTATGTGTCAGCTCCACTGACTACCTGCATGATCAACGTCCACCCACAGGATGAATCCACCACATAGGGTAATACAACCAAACTCTCTCTCAAGTCATACGTCCCTACTTGATCTCACATCTAACTCAACAGTACCTTGCAGAAGTAGAAAGAAAGGTGAGAGCATTGAAAATATTGTACTAGCCGCTATCGGCATACAAGCTACCTTTATTTTTCTCTAGGATTGTCGTGGTGGTCATCTAAGTCTCTAGGGGCGTCTAGACAGTTTAAATCTCATCTCTTATTTTTAGGATGTTTGAGGCTAGCTCCTCATAGCCGTTGTGTAAGAATATGAGATTCTTCAGGTTCTAGAGATGTATTTATTCCAAACCTTGGTGCATTGCTTGCTTGAACAACGACGACTCTATCGCAGTACCTAGACTTATGCCAATATTCACTTTCCCTTATAAATTAAATTTGATATACTTTAATCAATTCCCAAAATCAATCAAAGCTAGTCTTCTTCAAGGTAGCTTAAAACAAAGGAAAAACTAAAGCACATTGACCTTAAAGCTGAACCAAATAGGAGTGGCTGAATTGAATCAGTGAATTTGTCCAAACAATAATGGAATCGACTAAATTCAAGAGGTCAAAACTCGAACAAAATTGAAAGAGAAGCACAACTACAGATGTCAATTTGTAAATATTGTGGTTGGAGGCGAAAAAGTGAAATGACAAATCAATGGATAACGTTGATGCATATAAACCAAGGTGAACCTTCTCGGTTGGCATGGTGAATCCTGAATATGCATGCCCCAAAGAAAATCTGCAAGTGCTTTGTAGGTGCGGTTAGGGGGTTTTCAACCAATTCCTAATTGTAATCTTGTTCCGATGAGAGCAAAGGACCACATAGGTAGACTGTCTAGATTGATCACAACTTCTTTATTGTTGCTTTATGTTATAGGGCCTATTAAAGGGATGCCAACTAAACCCTCTTAGAGAATCTCATAGTAGTGTCTATAGCGGATGAGAACTATGAGTTGGATACAAGCACTAAGATGACGCCTCTAGGGCCTATTAGCCACAACTCTATGATAATAATGACAATGATATTTATGAATAAGACATCTAACGAAGGAACCAACCAATAGCAACATAAGACTTAACGACAAATTAAGAACTACAAACAAGACTTAACGACAAATTAAGAACTACAAACAAGCCAATCAATTTGAGATTGTCACAAGTCTTATTTTATCTAACCAATCCTGAAATTAGAAAAGAAGAAGACTATAAACGCCAGTAGCCAACTGAAGGAATAGAAGATCTAATCGAGACTTAAACAAGAGAAAAAGCTACAAAGTTTGACAATCCTCGATGGCTGAAGCAGAAAAAAAAAAACGTCTTTCTCAAAGATCTTCATTGAACAATCCAAAATTTGTGTTCTTTAATTCTCGATTATAGTCTGCATCATTGCCTAATCAACTGGTAACACGAATAAGAAAATAAATGCAACATTCCAGTTATAAATTGAACTAGGACTCTTATCTCATATATGCAGGACAAACGCACTTGTGCACTGTCCAGTCCATTGCCACTAGAACTTCAGTTCGCTAAGTCAGGGCCATGAAGCATAAGCGAGCAACCGAAACAATGCCCAAAGATCGTGTCAACCTTGGGAAAAGAATAGTAGCATACAAAGCATTGGACTATAAATGCATTCCTCAGAAAATAATTCTATGCTGTAAGATGTATCCTGCCGTGCATTCTAACTATTATTCTTCAAATTCTTGGGCTTCGCCGTCTGCAATAGGAAGGACCACCTTGGTTACTCTTAAACTTGAAGGAAAACTCAAAGTAGTTATTAGAATTATTTCAAATAAGCATTACCTGGTAGAGTGACAGCCAAGTTTGCTTGAGCATCGGCTTCAGAGTTTAGATTCTTTCCAGAATGAACGACAGAATGTCAGAATTTCAAAGAATGAACAAGTACAGATATCAACAAATAAGAAAATGGATTCAATGGTCGCTAGAATTGGTATCCATTAAGGACATTACCTTGATAAGGAATAAGTACCAGACTGTTTTATGAGTACGTATTTATTATTTTTTCGAGTATGCAAGTCTCGTTCGGTTGTCGGACAAATAATGTGGAGAAAGCAACGTGCAAACTCAAACTTGACTTACGTTCACTGTTCTATCGAAAAACTGAATTAAAATAAGGCTACAGTTTAAGCCTATGTTTGTAGGGTACTGACCCTTGAGGAAATATTTTTTTTCACCACCTTCAGATCTTAAATAGTAAAGAGCGTAGAGCATAAGAAACAATAATATGCAGAAACCAACTACACAACATCGTGAGATGCAAATAGAAAGGAATTAATGGTACTGACCCTTAGTACATGACTGATCTCGAAGGAGAGAAATTTATCCTTCAGCTTCATAACTTCATTACATAACTCAGCGATATTCTCATTTTTTACCTTCCATAATCCTTGAACCTGTTCAATGAAGTATGCTTGATTTAGAATACATAAGAAAAAGGGGAACAAACGAAGATGCCATGAATTTTATTTTTTACAAAAAAACAGATGGATCCAGTCAGAGAGGTAGGACTAAGAGATAAGGTTGCTTTTGATATACGGAGGTTGACAATAACAAAACAGTTGCAGCTTTAAATGTCCCTAATATTAAATATTTACATAAACACTGTATTTCAGCAAAACCATACTACTAGCGAGCGAAACTGGGGATGCGAACTTGAAAATGCAACTAACCAAAAGACGTGGCCAGATACATTTTAATTCTTTAATTGCTATGCATAGTAATTAGTAAATTTCTAACTCCATATAAGAACTGTGTTTGGTTCAAATTCTGGATCTTTCCTACAACTTTCTATTAATGAACCTCCACAATGCTGAGCCACAAAAACCAATGCTAGATATTCAAAAGAACTCATATGGAAGTGAGCTACATTGATGATGATATACTTTTCAACTTGAAGGTAAGGTCTGTTAACATCTCAATAGAGGAAAGGTTTTTCGTCAATGATGTTAACCAGAAAATTGTTCCACTGCATTAAAACTTCATCCCATGTGTTGATAAAAGGGGCAATCGATAGCAAGAAAAAGTTTCAGGAATCAGAATGCCTTAAACAAATGTTCTACAACTTGTTTTTCAATTTGTCAATTGGTGTGTTTTCTTCTAACGTTCCTGCCCCCTTGGGTTAGGGTGAAATTAGTGTCAAGGGAATCTTCACAGAGCAGGCATATCGACAAAAGGACGTTAGCCTCCTTCCCTTTGAAGAAAATAGAAGTACAACTCTCGATGAAATAGTATTTTCACAGAGACTGCAAACCATGGGCCAGGAAAACTATTGGGATGTTCCCGGAATCGGGTATGACAACATTAGTTTCATGCAGTTTGGACTAATTATTTCCCTTCAGTACAAATGTTTCTTACAGTGTAATAATAATTTACAAGGATTATCTTTAAATACAAAGTTTTCAGCTTTGAACTTCTTAGTCCTAAGACAACCAATAAAACCATGCCTCCGAATTTTTCCTAAATATAAAAGACAAAATGAGACCTACTTAACAAGCTTACAATGTGAGGCCACAACAAGAATTAAGTTGACAAATAAATTAAAAAAAATATAAACATAAACATAAATACAAAAACACAACAATACTTGTAAGGGAAAAATATTTTAACCAACCTGCATACAGACAAGTTTGGAGTCGCCTTGGACATGGATCCTAGTAAACCCTTTCTCAAGTGCATACTTCAACCCTAAAAGAATTGCTCGATATTCAGCAACATTATTGGTTGCTATACCTAGGCCTTCACGCAGTCTACATATCTATTCCAAGGGGGGGAGAGATAGTTTAGGTATATATAAATAAGAATACATAAGTAATGTGGGATCTAAACGGAAGAATGTATACCACACTCCCATCATGAGCTCGTAGAACAGCTCCTGCACCAGCTTGCCCAGGGTTTCCCTTTGAGGCACCATCGAATTCTAGAAAGCAAGATTCCTGTACATGAAATATTATAATGGCTATCAAAATCTGTCGAGTAAGTTGAAAAATAAACTAAGGGACTATTCCATTGTATTATGGAAATATCATTTTGGAATCTGGACAATGAAATGAAAGCATATCAGCGTCAAAACAAAACTAAAAAGAGACTCCACTAGTTTGCATCCTCGCTAGTTCATTATAAAATATGATTACCATCAGGAAACCACAACCATTTGCTGGTTTCATTTTGGCCCTTTTAAATTAAAAGTAATATTTCAGACCCTAATTATATCTTTGCATAAGAACTACCCTGTACCAACCTTATTATGATCATAACGAAATTGATGACTTGATATCACTTGACAGACGTGAAAATTCTGAAGGTTTAATGAGCTGGCACCTTTTGAAAGATGTTAACACAAGGATACAATCAAATACATAATTAGTTTAGAAACAGAAATTTACGTCCTAATTAATAGACTAAAATAAAAATTGATACAACTCAGAAGACAACAAACAAAATGCAGTAATTTATTTCTTTTTTTAATCAACCACTTAAGCAACACTAGGCAAAAAATACAGAATCACATGTACACAAATATTTAGCTACAGACAAGAGTATGCAGTTCATAGTATTGGTCCAATCACTATGACATCACCGAGACTTTGACTTACATGGTTAGAGGGTGCTTGGGACACAACGGAATCTTCCAACTTGACATGTTTCCTCAAGGGATCTTTTGAAGTAGGAGTTAAAACAGTTGACCCCTGCAAACATTTAAATCTGCATTAACCCCAAGTAAACAAGCATTGACAACAAAAACCATAAGTTGCATATCAAATTCAGTGTTGCAAGTTCCTTAGTAAAGAGCTTTATTGCTTCAATTAAAATTTTAGCTTAGAAGATGACATGAAATCAACTTACAATATTTTCTGATACAATGGTCTCTCTTGATCTCTTCTTTATGGCATCCTGGCCAGAAGCCTCACCTTTAAGAGTAGTAGCTTCATCCTGGAAAACAGAAACATTTTATAAATACAACAAACTTATGCTAGAGTGCATAAAGATAGTCCAGGAAGGAGATTGAATCCACATAAACACAAAATTGAAAACCTAACATCCTAATTTGCTATTGTAAAAAACCAATATGTATAAAATGCTTCATGTTGTTGTAGTTTACAGCCTTCATCGTCTGACTTTAAAGTGAAAACTGTGCTAGTTATACTATTCTTCCTATAAAACATGAAACCGTGTTCTCTACAAAATAAAAAGTTACAAGGCAAGGGAGGCATGGAGTACAAACTCAAAATTGTGACCTAGGGAGACTAAAACAATATGCTCCTTTCTCGCAAACATCTGTAGAGCATCCCATGATAGGGCCAAATTCACCCTCTTCAATAATGACCAAACATGGATGATCTAACATTTGGGAAATATTAATCTTTGTGATGCTTGAATAAGTCTAGTATAAGAGCAGAATTACTATATTTTTCCTACTTTTTTCTTATATAATTCATGACAGTAATGTTCTCTTAAACTTTTAACTCGATAATCATTCAACTAATGAAGCATCATACATGAAAAGTGCAAGGAACGAGCGAACTGAAAAGATCAGGTCTCATATCTGCAGCTTTAATAGTGTACAGAGCATTCTTAAGCCCGACGGAAGAAAGATATTCCCCTGTGTCTTTCGGCAATGAGTGTCCCTTATACACGCTAACAGGAAGATCGCATATCTGCCACAGAAAAGAAACGATAACACCCGAGCTTAATCCACTGAACGAAATGCACCAGTTACAACAAACCGGCAACCATAAGTAAAATTAACAAAGAACTATGCTTGTCAAGTAAGACAAAATCCTTAAGCAATAAAAAGTACGCTGAACTGATCGATCACTGAGCCAATACTTCAAAAACAATTAAATGTAACCAGTAGGAAAACCTAATCTAAGTTCGCAGAGAGAACATGAATTCAAAAAGTGTTAAATCACCACTCATAAGTTAACGACAACAAAAAAACACATTAACGACAACAATCTTGTCAAAAATCACCACTCGTAAGTTAAAGAAATGAATACCGAAGATCCAATTTGCGCCTGACAGTCAGTAAAACTTTTATAGACTCCAACAACGTCCCCCTTCCGAACGACAAAGAAGTCGCCCATGTCTGGTTCCATGGGAGGTTTAGAATCTAAGTTGGGAGAAGGAGAAGCGCCCTTGCGGAGTTTTCGAGAGGAGTAGCAACGTAGACAAAATCTGGAACACAAGGAGTCTAAAGGAGTAGGTTTAAGAGTGACGCTGTGAAAGCTCGAGGTCCAGTAGAGATTAAAGCGGCAGCCATGAATGGAGGTGGAAGCTGCAAAAGCAAGATTGGTGGTTCTGAAAATGGCGCGAGTGTAGGTAGAGAATTGGGAGAAGCAGTTCATCAGAGGGGAATTTTCCAGGAACTATGGGGATTTCAGGGTTTCCAAATCAAATCAATGTCATCCATCCACCCAAATAGGTTTGTCCATACTAAGTTTCTCGCTCCAGTCGCTCCACCTTTCTTTATATATATATATATATAACAATAATAATTTATTTATTTAAATTAATGTTTTTATCTATTTTTATTAATATTTTTAAAAACCTAATCAAATTTTGAAAACTAAAAAAAATTCATGAAGTTATTTTTGTTTTTTTGTTTTTAGTAAAATGGTGGAAGGATTACTCGGTTCTTTTTTTCGATAGGTGCAAGGGAAGGGATATAACTTAGCGGTAGAGTTTCCTCTTGACGTGACGGAAGCCACATGATGAACATGTTTTGATTTGAAAATGGGTTGTTGAATCCTTCGCTCCACTCCTCTACAAGGTCGTTACAAACTTCGAGGGACAAGTCAAGTCAATCTTGAAAATAGGATAGATCGTCGGCTAAGGTCAACCAAGTAAGTGGTCTTACATCGGCATGGTTAGAAATTGATGTTGTATGATGCCACGTGCCCTGTGGTTCTGCACGTGTCATATACTTGATAATGTGTGAAATGTTTATAATATATGTATGATGTGATGCGTTTGATGATATGTTTGAGATATAATACATGTTATGATATGATATGTGAATAATATGATATATGTTATGGTACGATGCATTTAACGATATGTTTGAGATACGATACGTGAATGATAGATATATATCTTATGATATGATATGTAAATGATATGATATATGTTATGGTACGATACGTTTGATAGTACAACACATATTATGCTATGATTTATGATATGATACGTGTACGGTATGACATGATATGTTGGGAGACATGATATGCTTATGATATGATACACGTGACATGATATGAATGACATGCAATAAGATCTTTTGACATGATACGATCATTATGTTTATCATAACGCTGCGACGATCAGACAAAAGAACCATCATTATGTTTATCCTAATACTGTGACAGTCGCTATTCCTAAATGAGTGTTTGTCATCAACAAGTACCAGAAAATGCTCGCCCGACAAGAAAGGGGCCTAGGAGGTAAGCGAACCGATTGGTGGGTCCATACTCGTACGTGTGAACCGTGTGTAGAACAATAAATACACATCCAATTTGTCTGTTTAGGATAGTCGCCTAAGAAATATAGATTGGTATATGTCTCACTCTCACCATTTATTATAAGAAAATACATCGTATCCATTTATTACCCTTACATTTATTGCTATTTCCGTATTCTTTGTAATTTATTTGATTTTATAAATGATTATAAATAAAGAACTTTCACATCATTTGGGTACGCTAGTTTTAACAAAATTTTCATGGTACAAGAGCCCCTTGGTTGGGCCCTCATATTCTCTTTTCCATAACTTCTGTTAAAGATATTTAGTACTAAATTAGAGTTTATCATATATATCATATTTGATATTTTATTATAGACTTTTTACCATTAGGTATCTTTCCATTTATTACTATTTCCATATTTTTGTAATTTATTTGATTATAAATAGAGAACTTTCCCACACCATTTAAGTGTGGTGAATTAAGCAAACATTCTCATGGTATCAGAGCCCTTTCGATTTAACAACTCCGATTCCTTCTGAATCCTCTACTATTCTTCTCCACCACCACTGCTGGCTTTGACACCGAGGAGCAGTCGCCATGGTTGCCACAAACGAAGCCGATTGATTACTCTTCGGCTCCACCTTTTTGACCTCCAAATCACCCTTTGTCATACTTTGTAGATAAAACCTCACCTTCTCCAACATAATAGGTTTCCCTTTAGCCAACATAGCCTCTCTCATTTTCTTCCCAATCAACACTTCATCCTTCACAGAAACCCTAACCTCAGAATCCTCACGAGCATTCCCATCGAAAGTATACAGAATCTCGAGAAACCTATCGACCTTCTGCAGAGATTTACCTTTGGAATCTGGGCGCGGCATTGGCCTCTTCGCCAACCAAGTCGCGGCCGCCCTTCTCGCCAAAATTGGCCCCTTCGCCCAATGTGGCAACTCTTCCGGCTTCAACATTGTTTTTGTCCCTTGCTCTAGGTTTTCCCCTTCTACTTCTTGGGTCAGACATATTCTTGCCAGAGCCAAGGCAGCATTGTCGCTGAGCGATGATCCCTCTTCATGGGTTAGACATATTCTCACTGAAGCCAAGGTAGCATCGCCGTTGAACGGCGATCCCTCTACAGTTTTCGATGGGCAAGAAAGTGTTTCTCTACGCTTCCTCCTAACCAGGTTGTTGACATCTTCACGAAAAGTGTTTCTTGACCTCTCTTTGAATTTTTCAGATCCAAGCTTCACGTTCATTTAAATCTGACGCTTAACTTGCGAGGGGTATTAAAGATATTTAGTACTAAATTATAGTTTACCATATATATCATATTTGATATTTTATTATAGGCAAATATCTAGATATTTGCCTTCTTACCAATAAGTATCTTTCCATTTATTACTATTTCCATACTCTTGTAATTTATTTGATTATAAATAGAGAAATTTCACACACCATTTAGGTGCAGTGGATTAAGCAAACATTCTCACTTCCTTTCAACACTATAATCCATATGATTGTTGAGTCAGTTTTATGTATTTCCTATAAAAAGGCATTGGAACCTATGAATAAAGACAGATGGTGCATTTGCCAAGTCTTTGAAACTTACCATTATCATTTGGTATCAGAGCCAAAGCAAAACAAAGTGATCCAAGAGAGAAAATGAGCAATGACAAAACACTTACCAAGATTCCACAGTTTGATGGTCAATGTGACCATTGGAGTGAACTGATAGAAAACCTCTTGTGTGCCAAGGGTTTGTGGAGTCTAGTGGAAGAGGGTTACACCGAACCGTTAGAGGGAATCGAAGAGACTGCAGCACAGAAAAGGAATCTTGAGGAGCTCAAGATGAAGGATCATCAAGTGAAGCACTACCTGTTCCAGGAAATTGATCGGGTTGTGTTAGAACAGATCTTGAATGACAAAACATCCAAGATCATTTGGGATTTGATGAAGAAAAAGTTTGGAGGCAACGAAAGGGTGAAGCGGTCTCTTCTCCAAACCTTAAGAAGAGATTTTGAGGTTCTTGAAATTAAGAATGAAGAAAACATCAATGATTATTTTTTAAGAGTAATGTCTGTCTCCAACAAGATGGGAAGCAACGAAGAAGACATGTTAGATTCGAAGATTGTTGAGAAAATACTTCGAACTCTGATTGACAAATTCAGATATGTGGTGGTGTCCATCGAGGAGTCAAAAGACACGGGAAAGATGATGATTGATGAATTGCAAAGCTCTCTATCTGTACATGATAAGAAATTTAAGAAGATCAATCATGAAGAAGGTGATTAAGCTCTCAATGTCAGAGGCAGTCTCAATGTTAGAGGCAGAGGCAGAGGATCATACAGAGGTCGAGGCAGGGGCAGAGGACGCTCATTCAACAAAGCAACAATCGAGTGTTACAACTGCCACCAACTTAGACATTTCCAATATGAATGTCCAAATGGGAACAATGGAGCACATTTTGCAGAGATTGAAGAAAAGGATGAAGTTCTTCTCATGACGAATGTGGAGCTTCAAAGCATTAAAAGAGGAGATGTGTGGTTCGTGGATTTTGAGTGTTCAAACCATATGTGTGGAGAAAGAGGTATGTTCTCAAGCTTGGACACTAGCTTCACACATAATGTCAAGCTTGGGAACAATCACAAACTGATGGTTGGTGGGAAAGAAGTAAAAATAATGCTTAAGGGAATAAGTTATGTGATCAACAATGTGTATTATTTTCTGGAATTGAAGAACAACCTACTTAGTGTTGGACAACTTCAAGAAAGGGGTTTAGACGTGCTATTCAAAGGAGAAGATCGAAACACATGCAACATCTTTCATCCCTCAAGAGAAAAAATAGCAGAATCTGTTATGAGTGCTAATAGGATGTTTATTCTACTGGGTGAATCAAATGATAAACAAAGGAGGAGAGATGCCTACAGGTTGATATCTCATACAAGGCAGAGCTGTGGCACCATCGATATGGGCATCTCAGCTACAAGGGACTTCACACATTATGCAGTAAAGATATGGTTGTGGGTTTACCTAAAATTGAAGATGTGAAAACCACCTGTGAGGCGTGTGTCAAAGGGAAACACCACCGTGTTCCATTTCCGAAGCAGAGCAAGTGGAGAGCCACTGAAAGATTGCAGCTTATCCACTCTAATCTCTGTGGTCCGATCAATCCACCATCAAACAGTCAAATAAGGTACTTTATAAGCTTTAATGATGATTTCTGAAGAAAAACATGGATATATTTTGTGCTAGAAAAATCAGAAGCATTTCATCAGTTCAAGACATTCAAAACATTTGTAGAGAAGCAAACTAGATTGTTCAAATGTCTAAGAACAGATAGAGGAGGAGAATACAACTCAATTGCATTCAAGGAATTCTGTAAAGTGCATGGAATCAAAAGACAGCTGACCACCGCCTTCGCGCCTCAGCAAAATGGCGTTGTTGAACGCAAAAACCGTACAATCATGAACATGGTGAAAACAGCGTTATTAGATAAGGAGGTGCCAAAAGCTTTCTGGCCAGATGCTGTGCAATGGGTGAATCACATTCTTAAAGATATGACTCTGGAAGAGGCATGGAGTGAAAGAAAGCCATCAGTCGAACACTTTAGGATTTTTGGATGTATCGAATATGTTCATATCCTTGATGTTAAAAGAAGCAAGCTCGATGACAAAAGCGTGAAGTGTGTTCTGTTAGGTTTCAACAGTGAATCCAAGGCCTTTAAAATGTTTGATCCAGTGGAGAAAAAGGTTCACATCAGCCGAGATGTGATATTTGAGGAAGATAAGAAGTGGAATTAGGAAGATGTTGGTTATTCTGGTGAAGAAAGCATTGAACTTGAGTGGGAAAATGATTATGAAAATGTTGAGAATGTAGAGGAAGCAGAAGAAGCAAAAGAATACATTGATGACGTTCCTTTACTAAATGATCCATCAACTAGAGAAACAATAGCAATAACAGGCAGGGTGAGAAAACCACCAAT